GGTCCCGATTGACCACGTTGAGATTGATCACGTTAATATTGACCACGGTCCCGATTGACCACGTTGAGATTGATCACGTTAATATTGACCACGGTCCCGATTGACCACGTTGAGATTGATCACGTTAATATTGACCACGGTCCCGATTGACCACGTTGAGATTGATCACGTTAATATTGACCACGGTCCCGATTGACCACGTTGAGATTGATCACGTTAATATTGACCACGGTCCCGATTGACCACGTTGAGATTGATCACGTTAATATTGACCACGGTCCCGATTGACCACGTTGATATTGACCACGGTCCCGATTGACCACGTTTATATTGACCACGGTCCCGATTGACCACGTTTATATTGACCACGGTCCCGATTGACCACGTTTATATTGACCACGGTCCCGATTGACCACGTTTATATTGACCACGGTCCCGATTGACCACGTTTATATTGACCACGGTCCCGATTGACCACGTTTATATTGACCACGGTCCCGATTGACCACGTTTATATTGACCACGGTCCCGATTGACCACGTTTATATTGACCACGGTCCCGATTGACCACTGTCCCGATTGACCACGGTCCCGATTGACCACGTTAATATTGACCACGTTAATATTGACCACGTTAATATTGACCACGGATCAACACATGTCGTTACTAGGGCATGTACTTTTCAAGTTGTAAAGCGAGATCCATTGTGCCTGATTGGCGGAGGGGGTGCGGAAGGGGGGCCGAAGGCCCCCCTTGAATCCTCCCGCATGTGTGTGTGTGTGTGTTACATGGTTTTTCAATCGGGACCGTTGTCAATATAAACGTGGTCAATCGGGACCGTGGCCAATATCAACGTGGTTAATCGGGACCGTGGTCAATATTAACGTGGTCAATATTAACGTGGTCAATATTAACGTGGTCAATCGGAACCGTGGTCAATATCAATGTGGTCAATCGGGACCGTGATCAATCGGGACCGTGGTCAATTGGGACCGTGGTCAATCGGGACCGTGGTCAATCGGAACTGTGGTAAATATCAACGTGGTCAATCGGGACTGTGGTCAATATCAACGTGGTCAATCGGGACCGTGGTCAATATTAACGTGGTCAATATCAACGTGGTCAATCTCAACGTGGTCAATTGGGACCGTGGTCAATATTAACGTGGTCAAACGGGTACCACTCACTCGACTCTTGTCGTTTCCACCGAACCTCATTTGGATCCTACCTTAAAATTTTATTGGGTAGAGTTCAACTTTAAGTTTGGTGTTTCCACCGTAAGAACGCTCACCCCAACCCGACTCTGACTCGACTCTGACCCGATTCGAGCCCTCGATGGAAACATACTCAATGTACACAGGCGACACTATGTAACCACAGTATATACAGTAGCGCAATTCTCCCGATTTTGTGTTGGCTAAACGGAGTGCGCATGCGCGAAATAAGTAAGTAGGCCAGTAACGTCATCTAAATTTCTCTTTCACTTACTCTTTTTTTTTCTACTCTTTTCGTTCTTGCTCACACTATTTAAATACCCAATTAAATGCCTACTGCCTACCTTATTTGGCGAAATAGATGACATTACATGTTATTTATTGTACGATCGCGCAATTTATCAAAGTTTTTGATACAAAGCGATTACGAAGCGTAAGCCATGCGCGGAGGCCACGCGAGCGCGAGACTTGAAGAACGACGCGAAAAAATAATTGTTTTTAAGAAAAAATATGTAATTATTTACAATGTATTTTTTTAAACAATTATTTGTTTATAGTGTTTTGGTATATATTTCTTCCTTTTTCCCTTTTTTTAGTTTTTTCATGATGTGAGTATCAGTGGATTCATGAATATTGAGCGGCGCCGGCGGGTAAGGGCCCAGCATCGATCAATACGTGTGTTTTTGGAATTTCTATGGCACGATACGGAAGAAATAAGGGAGACTGACGAAATTTATGACAGGGGATATGACCTTTTCGATTTGAGGTATCTATTTGGTATGGAGCCGGAACCGTGAGATCCCAATATGATTGATTAAGGGGATGGATAACCACTGTCCATGGTAAGTGCACGTGTTTCTCGACATGTATGTTCATATTATATGTTATTAATTTCTTTCTTAATTAATGTATATATTTTGTTTCAGAGATGTTTTTTATGCGTAGATATATATATATATTTTTTTTTTTCATTACTTTCTTTTTGTATTTTTGTAGATTTTTTTTTATATATATATGAATAAATGGGTTTATGAAAATCGTATGATCCTTATTTACTATTAGTGGTAAGTTCTATAGATTATATTGTTTTTCATTAGATAAAATAAGGATTAAATATAACTAGTTAAAAAAAATTAAATTTAGCCAGTTCTATATATATATATATCAATCGTATTTTTTATATTACTGACAGGAGTTTTAACAAGAGGAATACCCACAAATTATAAAAAGTAACATAAGTATGCACTTAGAATCTATAGTCTTTTTCATATATAAATGATTAGATAACTCATCTCAACTTTATTATCTGAAAGTAATACTAATAATTATATGAGTTTGTGGATTATATAACGAGTAAAGCTAAAATATTTAAAAAAATATAACTAGTGAAACTACTGAAAGTATTGAGATACTAAAGTGTTAAGATTCTAATTCTGTGGGCGATTCAAGCTGTGGTTCATCTTCATAAATGGAAAGACTAATAATCTCTTGAGTAGTAACGTCAAACATTACAAATGCGATATCATTAGAATAATGTTCTCTATAGTTATTCATGAATTGAACGTATGAGCTAAAACATCTATCGCATCCCAAAATTGAACGTATGTACACTATTTTGTTTCCACAATTCGAACATTTACGAGGATTCGGATTTCCGTCTAAAAATCCGTGGCTTGTTGTTAATTCATAAATTTCTGATTCTCTAGGTGCATAACAAGATATACAAATTTTATCATTGGCTTCTTTGTTCTGGTAACATATTATCCGTACACATTTTATATCATATAAATTTTGAAAATATTTTAACAAAGGGTGTATTTTACGTTTAGGGGGTTTAGTTATGCACATTTCAAGGAAAATCTATTTGTTCACCGCTAACAGTTATTATTATTGGATCCTCGTAATCGTTAATATCTTCTCCGGCTTCCTCTACTATAGTTATAAATTGTAAATGTTCCAGAGTACAATCGTTACATTCGCGCAGGGCTCGTAGTGTTAATACAGAATTCGAACAATATTCGCAAAAGACTGTTGGATAGCGTAATCCGTCTGAAACGAAATGATAAAATAAGGGGAAGTATAATATTTTACGACGGGTAGATAATGATTGCCAATAACAAGATTGACAAAGAATAATTGTATTATCCACCTTAAGATAGCCTAGGACCTTAGCACAATATGCAAAACGCAGGCGGTGATATGCGTTTAATGTGGGTAATGATGCTTTTTGTCCTGGGATGGTAATTCGTTGGCGATGCCAACACATCTGTAATTAAAGATAATAGTTATATTTCTTCATCCTGGCTCAACGTGAGCGAGTTTTAGCTTATTTATATGCATGACCCGGGGTCTATTTTTTACCAAAATTTTGACATTATATATTGTGGTAAAATTTCTATAACTTCGTGAGGACCTGTATATTGGTCGGAAAATTTTCCTCTTGCCGGTTCTTTTAATAAAAATACATATGATCCTATGCGGAAATTCTGTGGGTTAATTCTTCGGTCATAATAATGTTTACTTCTTTCTTTAGCTGCTATGAGATTTTTGCGCGCCTCGTCTTGCAGATCAGTGAGTTTATTAAATAAGTTCGTTAGATATTGTTGATAAGTGATTTCTAAATTTTCATCTATCGGGATGTGGGCAGAAGGTAATCGTGCTATACGTCCAAAAATTAATTCAAAAGGCGTAAATTTAGTACTTTCATGAACACTCTGGTATTATATGAAAACATTGCCATATTAATATAGTTATCCCACTCTTTTTCTTTTTCGACTTGGGTTTTTAAATATTCCGTTAACACATGGTGCGATCTTTCAATTGACCCGTTAGACTGGGAGTGATAAGCGGTAGTTTTAAAATGTTGAATATTAAATTTTTTCGTTAGATTGCGCATTAAAGCAAATAGAAAATTAGTTCCTTGATCGGTGAGGATAGCCTTGGGCGTACCATAAATGCAAATAAAATGTTTAGTGAGAGCATCGGCTATGGTTAAAGAAGTTGCTTCTCTTAAGGGAACAGCTACTGAATATTTAGTTAAGAAATATTGCATGGTTAATATATATTGATTTCCGGTATTTGTAATTGGAAGGGGGCCTACAATATCGAGAGAAACTTTATCAAATGCAGAACCAGGCGTGTCTGTAATCACCATGGGTTGTTTTGTTTTTATTCCTGTTAATTTTTTTAATTGACATTGACGACATTTTTGAATGAGATGTTGTATATCTTTTTTCATGCTTTTCCAATAATAGTGAGATCTTAATCGATTATATGTTTTAGTGATGCCCTTATGACCACCGTGAGCTGAAGAATGATTTTCAATTATGAGAGCTTCTCGTTGTTCGATAGGGGGAGTTTGGACTAAGTTTTTACAGATGGTTATGCAAACTGGTAATTCTCTCAGGTATCCTTGAATTTGACCTATTACATAATGCCAGGGTAAGTCATCAAAATGATCGGTTTTACTAATGCTGAAAGAAGTTAATTGTAGCTCCATTACTACATCTAAGAGAGAACGTATACAGTTTTTTAAGGTTTGAATCTCTATATTCGTCCGATTATTATGTTTTATAGGGAGTGATATTAATTTACCGTGATTTAAGGATTGTACGTTGGCTCTTTCGTACGTAAGATCTTAGTAATTAGGTAATACATTTGCTTCTTGATATTCTTTGGCGCCTTTATCACAAGGGGTCCCGTTTAAGTGGATAAAAATTACGTGATTGTCTGATTGTTTTAATAGGCTGTCGCGAGTTTCAGTTATAATGATTCTGTCTGTATCTTGATGTCCGTTATTAAAATCTAATATTTCTTCATATTGATTACTATTTTCATCTGAGCTTGCAATATCACTAAAATATTCTTCTATCGTTATATCGGTTCGTTTGGATATAGATTGATTATTTTCCGATTGTTGATTATGTGGGTGTTCGAGAACGAGGCGAAATAGGACAAGTGTGCGACGATCTTTTGGTTCGCGGAAAATAAATCTCGCGAGTACAATTCACGTTCTTTAATTATAATCAAATAATTAACACAATCACAAATTATACAAAAGTTCCAGAAAAAAGCTCGGTCGGTTATAGGCGGTTTCACAAAGAGAATAGCGGTTGTCGTAAGCGGTTATCAAAGCGGTTATCAAAGCGGTTATCAAAGCGGTTATCAAAGCGGTTATCAAAGCGGTTATCAAAGCGGTTATCAAAGCGGTTATCAAAGCGGTTATCAAAGCGGTTATCAAAGCGGTTATCAAAGCGGTTATCAAAGCGGTTATCAAAGCGGTTATCAAAGCGGTTATCAAAGCGGTTATCAAAGCGGTTATCAAAGCGGTTATCAAAGCGGTTATCAAAGCGGTTATCAAAGCGGTTATCAAAGCGGTTATCAAAGCGGTTATCAAAGCGGTTATCAAAGCGGTTATCAAAGCGGTTATCAAAGCGGTTATCAAAGCGGTTATCAAAGCGGTTATCAAAGCGGTTATCAAAGCGGTTATCAAAGCGGTTATCAAAGCGGTTATCAAAGCGGTTATCAAAGCGGTTATCAAAGCGGTTATCAAAGCGGTTATCAAAGCGGTTATCAAAGCGGTTATCAAAGCGGTTATCAAAGCGGTTATCAAAGCGGTTATCAAAGCGGTTAAACGTAAGCGGTAACTCTGCGCGTTTTCAGCGAGTGTCGGGCGCTCCTCAAGAGCGGGCCTTTTTATAGCGGGTTTGATAATCTCTCGCTGCCAATAAGTTTGAACTTCCGAGTTCGGTTCGAAGATTCAACGCGGCGCCAAACTTCATTGGCCGCCCCTGAAATATCGGCGCGAGATGAGACTCAGAGCGAGTGATAGACCGGTGGCTCGTACGTCACGGGCTACGTCACGGCCTCGCGCATGCCGGCAGCCGTTTGTCGCGCGGCTAACCGACAAAGTTGTTTGCGAGTTGTTATTCGACTTGTTTGTGTCACGGACTTCGTAAAAGTCAAAAAAACCTCAAAAACCTTTAAGTTGTTATTCGACTTGTTTGTGACATGGACTTCGTTGAATCCGAAAAAACCTCGGAAGAGAATAATAATTTTATAAAAGTAATAACAAGTTAGCTTTTCTTTATATGTTTTTTGACTTTGAATGTAAGATGTGAAAATAATGCGAAGCCCATGTCGCAAAGATGAAATTAAATTATGTGTAGTTTAATGCGATCTCAAACAGTGGGGAAAATTCGATTGGTGAGGATGACATTTCTCTATCCGGGATATGTCTCCTAGGTCTACGTTCAAAAGAAAATGTTGATTCATTTGATGATTCGTCGAGTGGATTAGTGATAAATAAGGGTAGGATATGATTTGTAGGTGGATTTCGGGATAATGCATCCGCGTTATTATTTAAACTTCCCTTTTTATATTGTATCTCGTATTCATACTCGGCTAATTTTGTTCTCCATTTCCATAATCTAGAGGAGGGATCTTTAATCGAATGGAGCCAAACTAAGGGTTTGTGATCAGTTACAATTGTAAATTTTTTACCGTATAAATAAGGTCGAAAATGATTGGTACAATAAATTATTGCTAAACATTCCTTTTCAATGGTAGAATAATTTTGTTCCGCGGCGTTTAACACACGGGATGTATAAGCAATAGGTAAATCTTTTCCGATTTGTCCTTGACTAAGTACTCCTCCGATAGCATACCCGGATGCATCGGTGGTTAAAATAAAAGGTTTAGTGAAATCAGGATATTGGAGCACTGGTTCGGAGCACAAAGCGTTTCTTAAAACGTTGAATGCTTCCGTTTGACGTTGTTGCCAATTAAATGTATTATTTTTCTTTAATAAATCAGTCAATGGTTTAGCAATTTTAGAAAATTGTGAAATGAATTGTCTATAATAACCTGCTAATCCTAGTGTTTTTCATTTTTTGGTATAGGAAATTCGGATATTGACTTTATCTTATTAGGATCAGGTTTAACTCCATCGGCTCCAATTATATGACCGAGATAAGCTACTTCGCGACGGAGAAATTCACATTTATCAGGCTGTAGTTTTAAATTTGCTTTTCTTAATCTTTCCATTAATTTATTGAATTTAATTTCATGCTCTATTAAGGATCTAGCATAAATGACTATATCATCCATATAAACGAATAATTCATTGCCTTGTAATCCGGAAAGGACGTTATCCATTAATCGTTGAAAACTTGCGGGAGCATTTTTTAACCCGAATGGCATTCTCTTAAATTGATAATGACCGTATGGAGTCGAAAATGCGGTTTTTGGAGCGTCTTTGGGAGCCATAGGAATTTGGTGAAAGCCGGAGACTAAATCGAGGACAGAAAAATATTTAGCAGATCCTAATTGATCGAGAATATCAGTTATGTTTGGGAGGGGGTAAGCATCTCCTATGGTTTTTTCGTTAAGGCTGCGATAATCGATGACCATTCGCCATCGCTTATTACCTTGAGAATCAGGTTTCTTTGGTACTATCCATACAGGAGAATTATAAGGAGAGGTTGAGTATTCGATTAAATTGTTGGATAATAACTCGTTAACTTGTTTATCAATTTCATCCTTGTGGACAGGGGGAAATCAATATTGTTTCGTATGAATGGGGATTTCGTCAGTAGTAGGTATAAAATGTTGTGTAGCGTTAGTAGCTTCGAGACTATCGTCGGGGAGATGAAATCTATCAGAATGATTAAGGATTAATGATTTAACATTGTCTGACTCCTCAGAGTTCAAATGTTCTAATCATAAAAGCTGCATGACAGCAGTTGTGCGATCACAAGGAAATTCCTTGTCGAGAAAAATAACAGGGGCGACATTATTATTAGTTCCTTCAAAATATAAAGGATTAGAAAAATTAAAATTATTAGAGGTTGCTAAGGTCCCTAAGGCTGTGGCGATATGGTTATTTTCATAGCTCAATGGATTTTTATCGATCACTGGATGCCCTAAGGTCGCAGTGATATTTTTAGAATCATTGCTTTAATCAATATTGGAAATTGAAGTTTCAAAAGGATCATTGGTCGTCTCATTCCCTCGGGCTTTAACAACATCGCTTGGGATCGTGGATCCTTCAAGCGTATCCACAAAGTCAAAATCTAGTAATTCGATAGAGGGGATTCTTACATCATATTCGTGTTCAGTAGTATTGAGGATAGGTAAGTAGGCTTTGCTCTTAACATTGGTAACGATTGCTTCTCCGAAATAAACGTTTTCAATTAACATATGACGCGGTATATATCCATATTGTTTTTCAGAATTAGTAACATTGACTTAAAATGGTGAGACAGGCTGCTTACCAATATGAATATAAATTGCTTCTGAAAAGGGAATGCTCAAATTATCATAATGCAAACGTTTACTTTTGTAATCTATGCTAGCTAATCGTTCTATTAAGAACATATTTCCCAAAATATCATCTTGAGGGAAGCCGACTGTGTCGGGAACTATATGAAAGTTAGTGGGTAAATTAAGTAATTGTATGGTAATGGAACCTATAGTAGAGATTGGTTCAGAAGATATGCCTTGAAGGATTAAGGTTTCTTGTTCATTTGGAATTATATTTTGGTTAACAAATCGTTGTTTTATAAGATTAACTTCAGAGTCTGAATCAATCATAAAAGAACAGTTGGTATTTAGATCTGGAGAGGAGAGGGTGGCAGAAGGTAAACTATTGAATTTTGTTTCTTTTTCTATTCGTCCTATGCGGGCGATGATGTTGGAATCGAGTTTTGGGGTAGTGCGATAGTTACTGGCGCTTATTGTGGAGGGGATGGGCGCATCGTTTGAATGTCGTTCCGGCGGGCGCCGCTCGTTACCAGAACGCTCTGTGCGTTTCCCGGATTGTTATGATTGTTATTAGGATGTGAAGTGGATGGGTTATTCTCGACGAATCTTCTATACGCGAGTTTACAGCATTCATCTATAAGGTGTCCGGGATTTTTGCAATAGCGACAGATTTTTACAATAGGGTAATTTGATCCAGGCATTCCCGGAATAAGTGGTTTTATAAAAGGGGTCGCATTGTTTCGCGGGGGTTGTGATTGAGTGAAGCGCGGTAAATTTGTAGTTTGGAACGGTTCTGATTTATTTTGAAAATCAGCGCGAAGGGGATTATTAGATTTATAAGGTGGTGCGGCTCGTTTACGCGCATTTTCTGCTTCTAAAGTTTTTGAGAGTTGTATTGCGGACACTAAAGCTTTATCAAACGTATAAGATCCTTCTAGTTTAACTCTAATTAAAAGTTCGGAAGGAAGGCCATTAATAAAACTTGTGATTACGGTACGCTCAATGTTATCTTTTGTAATTTCGTCTACGTATCCGCCGGCGCTAGTTTCTCCGTCAATTATAGCCGCGCGTAATTCTTTTACTCTTTTTATATAGTCGAGAAGATGTTTTCGTTAGGTTTCATATAGATATTCGCTAATTCACCGCGATATTGATCTACTGATTTGTTCCCAGCTAACCATTTGCTTGCGGATCGTTAACAAACAGCAAACAATTCCCTGTGGAACGATTCAGGGCCTACTGTGTCTTCGAGTGCGCCCCAATTGCAACCAAAAGTTGAAATCATATCCTGATGTCAAATTGGGTACAACACCAAAGCAGATCTGTCACTAGCAGTGCGACGACAGATTGACGCAACAAATCGAGAGATATCTCACTTCGTTTCCTAAAAATATGCCCGCGTCATTATAAATGCCGCACCCTGTATATACATACATATGTATATATATATATATATATATATATATATATATATGTATACATATATATATACAGAGAGAGAGAGAGAGAGAGAGAGAGACATGCAAGCTGCATGTAAATCGCGATAATGTCGAATGTATGTAACGTACCGTTGAATGACGCTAATGAGTAAATAATATGCGCACAATATTAACGTTCACAAACAACTTGGTTCGTTATGCTTTGTTTCCATCGGCATGGCGCGGCGCGGCGGAACGTTTAATTATTGATATTCGCTGTGATTCTGGTAAAATGAACGCCGCCGTTACACCCGTGCGTTTAACGAACGACTTATGCGCATTGCACCACACAGTCTATTTGCTCGAAACATTATCGAGTGATGGGATAATTGCTGAAACTCTATAAATTTATAACTGCGCTCGCGCGATGTTGCGTATATTTTTATTACCGCGTTTTTCCTATTCCATCACTTTTGATAATAAAACAAACCCCTGTCAAGCATTTGCATGTTTCTGATAGTTTCCTAGTCAGTCAACTTTAATAATCCACAATCTATCTTCCTGCAATCATTTGAAACATCCCTATTATTCTTACTATTATTATTATCAATACTAGACAAATTTAGATTTTGCTTAGCGGCTATTCTGCTGTTGTCACTCGGACGTGGTCCAACCCTTGAAACCCGGTTGCCGAGCTTTATTGCCCTGGTGACATTCTATCCTTTTCCAGAATTTCCATCGTTATCGAGGATTGTTTTGCCCGGATCGACACTCTCCTATCATCTCCCTATATGATTCCTTCGTCTACCGAGCACATACCGTGCCCTAGACATCCTTCGTCTACTGAGCACATACCGTGCCCTAGGAAATCGATAAAATCCTTCAATCAACGCGCTCAACTCCATTATTATTCTCTTTTGCCACTATTAATATTTCCCCTCTTAAAATATTATTTTTCTAACTCTCACTATACTATAATTAACATGATATATTATGTTACATTAATCTAAGATTCACCTCAAATAATTAACACACCTCTTACAAATGGTTAACCCGAAATGTTGGCTTGCTCTCAGGAAAAAACGGAATCATAGAGCCGGTGTAAAAACGCGTGCTGCACGCTTTTCCTCCGAGTTGTCTCGGCTTAACCGATTACATAGTAAAAATAAACCTCGAGTAATATCTTGTGAAAAGGTCTCTTTGTCTCCAGATACTATAAATCTGTTAAAATATTCTCATAAATTTTATTTTAAAACTTATAACATTATTATAAATACACATTTTTCTCCTACAAAATATATTTAAAAAATTTTGAATGATAATTAATGTATGTGTATTTAATTGGATAGCATGTGCATTTCTTACTTTCATGATAGATATACACAGATCACTAATCAGAAAAAGATGACAGAGAACACAAAATATCCTCTCACGATTAGATATGATAAATTACCATTAAACATTCCATTGAATTCCTTCATTGAATTCAATTTAATAGGATAGCATTTATTTCTACATCTTTTTATGGTGAAATGTCGGATACGTTGCAATAGTTCCAATTTTCTAAATATATATATTCATTTTGATGCAAATACCGAATGATTAATTCGGATAAATTTTGATAAATTTTTCATTGAGAAACTATTATTGAATCGGATAGTATGTGCATTTCTTACTTTCATGATAGATATACATAGATTACTAATCAGAAAAGAATAATAAAGAACACAAAATATCAAATTATGATTAGTAATGATAATTTTATTATGTGAATTCTCACACTAAAATCCGATAACTATCTGAGATATTATAAAATGTTATTAAATATTATAGAAAGTCTATACATTATAATATTCATAACATATAGACCTTATTCATTTGCATTCAAATTCAGGCTTAATCTAATACAATCTTATCGTTTTCTATCCATTATTTTAAGCAGGGGAATACACTAGATATTTAGATTCATAATGAATCAGCAATGCAAGATGTTCCATTAATTTTCGGATAATGAAACCTTTATTTACTGATGAGCAAGTTTAAGCCATAGTAAATTGCATGCGCGAGCAAATCTTAACTTTAATCGCTAGATTTATTACCGATTTTCTAGATTTTCTATAGATCAACTAATTGCCCTGCTTGAAAACCCTGAAGACCCTCAAAATTGAATATATCTAATTGCGCATGCTCATATCCCTAGAATTAACATCCAGTAAAATTACTCTAGTAAAGTTTAGTTCCGTGCCTAACGTCATTCCCCTAGAATCCACCAGATCAGTCCTAGCTCTCGGCGTCCCTGGGGTATAGCCGGTGGAAGCAGGTTGCTTTATAAAAAATAGAGAGCTGTCCTTTTCTCACTAACCGAGGTAAAGTAAGTGCCGGTCTACAATAGATGATTTAAGCCCTAAGCCTTATGCCCGTATCAGACTACGCATTGAAAATTGAAGATTGAAGATTAAAGATTGGAATTTGACTAATCAGAACAAAAAAGACTAAAATTTCTTTATTCTGATTGGTCAAATTTCAATCTTGAATCTTCAATCTCAATCTTCAATGCGTAGTCTAATACGGGCTTTAAGAAATTGACTAATCACAGTCGAGTTTTCTCCTCATATTTGATTGTGATTGGTCAATTTCTTAAAGTTTAGGGATTAAATCACCTATTGTAGACCGGCACTAAGAAAAGAGCATTGTCGAGACGTAACAACATATATGAGTTTTAACCTATAAATGGCGGAACCAATCAGAATAGAGAACAGATCCGCTTCACTCTCCCTTGATTCTCTCTGATCGCGTCCAGTGTGCGAAGGCCATTAAGTCCGTATCAGACTACGCATTGAAGATTGAGATTGAAGATTGAAGATTGAAATTCGACTGATCAGAACAAAAGGGACTAAAATTTCTTTGTCCTGATTGGTCAAATTTCAATCTTGAATCTTGAATCTCAATCTTCAATGCGTAGTCTGATACTGGCTTTATGGCCATTAAAACCGGAAGCACGCATTGAGAAACACGCCTTAACGAGCGTTTGCGAATCCGCCTTTCGTATGTCGTGATCTCTCTCTCTCTCTCTCTGTCTCTCTGTCTCTCTGTCTCTCTCTTCTCTCTCTCTCTCTCTTTCTCTTTCCTAACCTCTCTGTAATCTTCGCGGCTGTACGCAAAGCACCTGCTTTTGCAAGAAGGAGAATATCGGTAATATTGTAATTTAAAATATATGTTTGAAGGTTACTCACTTTATCGCTCGAACTTACTTTGCCTGAAGTGAAAGATTTATATACATGATCCCTCTTATTAAAAATATATCGCGCCATGTGTTGAATTAACAAGACACAGTGGACGTGTATCATTCCTTATAGGTGGTTTCCGTGATTTCTCGAGTGATTGTTAAATCGAGATTTCTATGCGCGATATTAGTACTTGTCAAAATTATGATATTTGTCTTAAATTTCTGTTTCGCACATTTGGATCTTTTAATGATCTATTAAATTTTCCTTGTGCTATACAAAAGAGTTACAGTTTTATAATATAATTGTTAAGTGTGTTATATCGCGTTTATTTCTACCATCGCTTGATTGTTGCAGAGAATTTGCCATCATGAGCCGTTTCTTCGCGACTGGCTCAGATTCTGAGTCTGATAGCGCATCTGAGGAGGAACAGGTGCAAAGGGCGCCAGCGACAGCTTTTACCGTACGTACCGTCGTAAAATTGCAGTAAATTTCTTTAAATACATTTTTATATTTTTTTTTATTTAAAAATTTTTTTCTTTGGACAATCTTATTAGCAAAATAACATGAGATATTTTTACAGTTTAGCGATGACGAGGAAGAAACAAAGCGGGTTGTGCGCTCTACAAAGGAGAAGAGATATGAGGAAATTGCTAATCTTATAAAACTTATCAGGAATTATAAAAAAATTAAAGATATGAGCAGTATGTTAACCAGTAAGTAACTTTATATTTTGTAAACTTATGATTATATAATAGAATCTTGTACATTAAATTAGTAAACGCACACACACATACACGTATATAAATATACATTGAATCATTAATTACATCTTAAAATTGTGATAAAAAGGTTTTCTCTTTTCAAATATTTATTTGTAATTTTAGGTTTTGAAGATTTGATGCGAGCTTATCAAAAAGCTTTACCAGTAATTGCAAAGGAGGAACTTGGACAAACTCCACGATTTTATGTTAGATGTTTAGTAGAAATGGAAGATTTTATTAATGATGTATGGGAAGATCGTGACGGACGCAAGAATATGTCCAAGAATAATTCTAAATCACTTTCGACGCTACGTCAAAAGCTACGTAAATATAACAAGGACTTTGAAGAAGATATAGTCAAATTCAGAGAGAATCCCGATCAGGATGACGATGAGGAGGAAGAGAGAGGTTTAAAATTATGGGATATATATTTCTTATAAGTGTTTATTTAAAAAATTTAGACTTTTTTAATATTAAAAATTTTTCTATTATTTTAGCTGAGGAGATTATGGAATCTGAAGAAGAAGAGGATAGTGCCGTAGCTTTTAAGAAAGCGGGATCGGAAGCTAGTGAACCGGATTTGACTAAATTTAAGGTTTTTATAACATCAAGATTTTGTTATTGATATAGTATTGATTGTTTCAAATAATTCTTTATAAACTTGTTACATATATTACAGAAGGTTGCAACCGATGGCGAAGAGGGTAGTGAAAGTGAATCTGATTGGGGCAGTGATTCAGACAGTGAGAGCACGAGCAGTGATGACGAAGGCCAGTATCAAAATATTCGTGAACGCTTCATTAAAAAGTACGTTCTCTTTATTCATAATAAATCTAATGAAAAATGATATAAAAAACTAAACTTAACAATGTTATATTAACATTGTATATGATATTAACAATGTTATATAATACAATGGACATTTTTGTACATAGGGCTTTATTAGCCACAGAAGAAGACGAGGATAAAGCGAAGAGAAAGGAACAACGTAAAGAACGTAAAGAGAAGGAGCGAAAGAAGAAACGCGACGAAGATGATGGTGAAGGAGAGTGGGAAACTGTCAAGGGTGGTGTGGCTATCCCCTCTGAGAAGCCAAAAATGTTCGCCAAAGATGCGGAAATTAATACCAGCGCAGTGTTAAAGAAATTATCTGAGATAATTGCAGCTCGCGGTAAAAAGCGTACAGACAGACGGGAACAAATAGAACTCTTGCACGAGTTACAGTCGATAGCTGACTCACATAATCTTGGTCCAGCTGTGACTGTGAAGATTAAATTCTCTATTGTGTCTTCCATATTTGATTATAATCCAAAAGTTTCCGATGCTATGAAGCCGGAATATTGGTCCAAGTATGTATTTCTGCGAAAATGGAAAAAAATATATATAAATTTAAATTAATCTTTTAAAACACACAAAATGAAAAAAAGCATTTGTACATGAAATAACACTTAATATTAATTATTTTTTTGCAGAATATTGGAACGCATTAACGAAATGTTGGATATGTTGTTAAACAACATAGATATGGTAATAGCAGAAACAATTGTAGAAGAAATGGAAGAGTTTGAAACGCCACCTTATAAAATGCACGGCTGCGTATTGACGTTGGTAGAGCGTCTCGACGAAGAATTCACTAAATTGCTGAAAGAATGTGATCCACATAGTAACGAATATGTAGAGAGGTAATATCTTTTAAAGAATTAAATAATATTATGTGAGATTTGTAATTGTTATTTTTGTATACAACAAAATATTCTCTTATCTCAGATTGAAAGATGAAAAACAAGTTGCTGCTATAATTGATAAGGTGCAGGAATATTTAGAAAGGCAAGGAACTGTGTCCGAACTTTGCCGCGTCTACCTGCGTAAAATCGAACATTTGTATTACAAATTTGATTCAAATGTTCTTAAGCAAAAGGAAGTAAGTTGTGTAAAGTATTTGTAGGTGCAAAAATTCTCTTGTCTAATATACTGAAAAAATTATTCAATGCGCTAGAACGAACTGGGTTCAGATATAATTACATCTGTACAAGTTATGGAGAAATTATGCAAATACGTTTATGCCCACGATAATACCGATCGATTAAGAACTCGCGCGATTCTTTCGCACATTTATCATCACGCACTTCACGATAACTGGTTCCAAGCCCGCGACTTAATTCTGATGTCGCATCTCCAGGAAACTATTCAACATTCTGACCCAGCTACACAGGTTGTAAATTTGTATACACGCACTTTTATCTTTGTTATTAAAAAAGATGTAGAATATTTATTTGTTTTATCGCTTTTTCAGATTTTATACAATCGTACGATAGCTCATTTAGGATTATGTGCATTTCGTCATGCGAATATTAAAGATGCCCACAATTGCTTGGTTGATTTAATGGTGACGGGTAAGGTAAAGGAACTTTTGGCGCAAGGTCTCCTTCCACAACGACAACATGAACGCAGCAAGGAGCAGGAGAAAATTGAGAAGCAAAGGCAAATGCCTTTTCACATGCACATAAATCTAGAACTCCTCGAATGCGTATACCTCGTTTCAGCAATGCTTATCGAGATTCCGTATATGGCTGGTAAATATATATTTTCCATGTTTAATTCCATGTTTAGTTTTTATATATAAAATACATGCAATATTTGTCATTTAACAATTATACAATTTCAGAACAATATAATAAATGTAACAAATCATTTAATTCTAGCGCATGAATTTGATGCGAGGCGAAGAATGATTTCGAAAACGTTTTATCAGCAATTAAGATCCAGCGAACGTCAATCGTTAGTGGGACCACCAGAATCTATGAGAGAACATGTCGTTGCTGCTGCAAAAGCAATGCGCAATGGAAATTGGTCTGCTTGCAACAATTACATTATAAATGAAAAGATGAATGCAAAGGTATTAGCAATATGTACACACATTTATTATTTCTCTCAAATTTGAAAAATTGGGAAAATAATAATATATATTTTCTCGCGCGCGCAAGATAGATAATAAAATTATTTTTATTAAAATACGACAGGTCTGGGATCTCTTCCATCAAGCGGAGAAAGTACGAGCTATGCTGACGCGATTAATCAAGGAAGAAGCGTTGAGGACTTACCTATTTACGTATTCGCATGTTTACGATTCGATCTCGATGCCAAAACTTGCTGACATGTTTCAGCTGAAACGACCTGTGGTCCACTCCATTATTAGCAAAATGATTATTAATGAAGAGCTTATGGTATATTGTGCAAATATATATATCACTTTAATACATATTAATGAATTAGATAATATTCTATAGAATTTATATGGCATTTCTTCCTTTCACAAATTTAGGCATCCTTGGACGATCCGACAGGCACTGTCGTCATGCATCGCAGCGAACCGAGCCGTCTTCAATCTTTGGCCCTGCAACTTACGGACAAAGTAAACAACTTTGTCGATTCGAATGAACGCATTTTTGAAATGAAACAAGGTAAACACAAAGTACATAATTTTTTTAAGAAACCATATATTTTTTCGTCCCATTTATGTTATAACATATATAATATATATATATATATATATACATATATATATACATACATACAGGGTGTCCGATAATTTTTGACACACCCGAAGTGTGAAGATAGATTAGCTCAAACTGAGAAGGAAAGTCCTGTACCATTTTGCGATTTTCGTAATAATTATTGAGAAATTAATTAAAAAAGGTCGACCAATTCGCGCGAGTATAAGCGCGCAGCGAGAAGAGACAACCCAAAAGTAGGCGCGCGACAAAATTTTGGGAGGAGCGCTTTACAAATGACAACAGTTACGTACGAGCAGTACATAATGATGGATTCTCGCGTCCTAGCAACTACATATCAATGCCGCCCATATCAGGCCGTTCTTTCTCACCGCGCGGTAATACTTATGCGAATTGATCTATCTTTTTTAATTAATTTCTCAATAATTATTACGAAAATCGCAAAATGGTACAGGACTTCTTTTTTCACCCAATGTTTGGCCCAATCTACCTTCACACTTCGGATGTGTCAAAAATTATCGGACACCCTGTATATATATATATATTCTCGTTTTATTATAATATCCATACACGCACGCACATACAAAATGCGTAGCTTTACAATTAAAAATTAATCACGATTAATTTTTCATAATAAATGCTTGCAGGCAACTTTTTCTCAAGAGGAAATCAAGGCAATTTCCGCGATCGTCAAAATTATAATCGCCAAGGGCAGGATTGGGGCCAGCAGAGACGTGATCGCGATCGCGATCGAGCGTTTAAACGTAATAACGTGTAACGTTTAAATACTGTCATATTATAAATATATCGATAAGAATATTGTATACATACAACAATCATCTCGTGTTGATATTCTTGTAATCACATTCGACAATTGTTTCATTCGTTTATGTTTTGATTGATTTGGAGTAGAAATTATTAACGAATCGTTCAATGATATATTTGACCGTATTCGCTTTGTTCTATACTTTTAAATTTTTTTTTTTTTTTTTTTTTTTCCTCTCTCATATTGTAGAATCATTCACGTTTACTCTCTTTCATCGTTCGTACACAAAAAACTATTATAATCTCTTGTCTCTCTATTTATACAAAAAAAAAGGATAGATACAATATCTTTTACATTCCTGATGAATGCTATCAGAGAGTTTTCATATTTCTTGTATTCTCTGAATAAGTTTGTTACCCGTTAAGATAGCGTCGGACGCAAGAATGAGACGTATCCCTATAGACTTTTCGATGAGTCGACAGGCCGCTATTTCTGCGCATGTAATGCCTCCTACCACACAGATCACGACCATCTTTGGTGATAACGCACCCCGTTGACCGTTCACGACGCAACCCGATAAATTCATTAAGTCTTCAAAGCTGCGAGGATCCTTCTCTTGATTCGATACGATGTTTAATATTTGTGCCTACAATTAATATCGTGAAATTAAGTAATATTACAATATTATAATATACAAAGAAAATTATAAAAATACGAACTATGGCGGGTATATAAGCGTTGTTGAACACATAACTAGGACAGATACGACTGTTGTGATCGGATCGTTTAGAATAATTGGGTAACATCTTTAATCTTTGCGCATTGCTGCCCCATTCGCTATTCCGGTTTGGCAATTTGTGTAAAATATTTTCGGTTCTATACTTCAACAAACCAACGGTGTGTAATTTGTAAAATAAAGGGATATGTTGATAACCATGAGTATGGAGATGCAGTTTTTGGATATTTTGAAGCTCGCTCTGTGTGACACCGTCGGTAGTGATGGACAGCAGGCACAGAAGACGCAAACATCGCAACGCATGCTCATCTGCAAGACACAGATATTTCGTATATTTTGGTCATAATTAAACAAGGTGTCTACTCCCTGGAAAAACATGGAATCTGGAAATCTGAATACATTCTTTTATACCTGGAAAAATCAGGAAATACTCATGGAATTTTGTTGAGACTCGTGGAATTTTTTAAAAAATTCTCTTTTTGATAATTTTGCTCTTATACTTTAAGTAATAGACAATCTGGCAATAAGCCATGTGAATTATGAATTTAAAATATATTATAAATATATATCTATCTCTGTTTATATATTCAATGTCTTAACAAAATATTAAATGTGCAATATATATTCTTTATTTTAATTTGTAGTGATAAAAAATAAAAATGTTATACAAGTTAAAAAATTTTATCTTAACGAAAGCTATTCAATTTTATTTTTGGTATATTTGTAAATCTAGCACTTGAAATTTAAGTAGCTTAGAGTTTTTCCTTTGTATGAATGAAAAGCATTAGAAAATATGTACAATAAAAAAACTTATTTTAGAAAATTGCACCAAAAAATATTTAAAATATTCTCTTTACCTGGAATTTTGAACAAAAATATCTGTAAGACCAGAGAATCTCCAGAAAAATTTTTTACAGGATTTGAGTAGACACCCTGTTAAATTATAATTCATTTGTTGTGTTAATTATAATTAGATTATAAATGTTATTAATCTTGAGAGTAAACAAATGTACCTATATTTCTCTCTATATAGCTGAAACATTCTTTTCTGTTCTTGCAGTCTAGCATCAATTTCTCGATCATCTGCAAAGCTTGAAACTCAGAGCCCAAAGTATCCGCGATAGTCTGGCACGCGGATATATGAAACGCCAATTGTTGCGTCATATCTTTGGTCTTTTGCAATCTCGTCGACACATATCTTTCCATTTCGGCCAATTTCATCGTTTGTATGGCTTCCTGTTCAGCTAATATATTAGCCAATATTGAAATATCGTTATCGAGAAATCAATGCAATTGGTACAATGACTCTTGTGGGATAAAGATAAAATACATTTTAGTGACTTAGCCTTTCCATGTATAATCGGGAAAACCTCGCTGCAAGGTGTATCTCTTACTTCTCCATAGATCTGATCTTTATCTGGGTCCAATTTGATTTGCGATTTTCCCAGCACCGCTGTGCCGACATTCACCTCAACAACTTCGTTTAACAAGCTCGAATATGTAACAGGTGTCAAGAGAGTCGTCGCCAGATCGAAACCTCTATCCATCACGATTAGAGCGCCGACTTCATTCTCTAAGCTGGACGAACCCAGACATTGTACCATGGATTCCATCAGTTTGCCCACTTGTTGGCTGTGCTTGCCGACGAGAAGTGAGAGCCTGGGTGAACCAAGTATCAACTGCAATGACCACAAGTTGCGTGCCAATGCTCGCAGAGGACTGATATCCTTGTGATAGTAGAGATCAATGAACATTGGATTTTCCAAGGATAAAACGTTTCCATCTAGTTTTATAAATTCTACAGATAGCGTCTGCAGTGTAACTAGCTCAGCCAAACCTAAATGACAGCGATTCAACATAATTATCAAGATAGATAGAACGGATGTTGTAATTAATAATAATAATAATTTGCCAAGACCTTCCTCTTCGACTAGATTATGTAACACAGCTGGAACAAATGGCACGACCAATAAATGATGGCACACTTGGACATGAGGCTTGGTAACATGAGATATTTCAGATTGTATTTGATCCAGTACTCTCTTGCACGCGATCAAATCGTTAGATACTAAAAATATACGTTGATTGTTTGATAGTTTTAATCCTTCATCCAGCTTATAAATCTTGTCCACTCCGCATCGTCTAAACAAGATTATGCAATCTTTTTAATAGCAAAATTAGTGTATACCAATATATAGAATATGAGAGAAAATATTTATACTTTAATACAGTCACTCCTACAAAACTGTCCAGTATTTTCATTAATTTCTGCTCTATTATCAGATCCTTCATCGATCCTGGAATGCTCTCCAGTATATCTACAAGCTTCCGCTGGCTTATTTGTCGCAACGCATTTAGTTTATCATCCAATGTTATGTCCATTTTATTTATAATAAATTATTATCTCTTATTTGCTCTTTTTCCAATTTTATTTTTACGATTAGAGCTTTTAAGTTACTGTAATTAATTATAAATTATCATATATAATGATACTTTATGCGACAAGATAGGTACTCCTCATCTGTATATATATAATAAAATATATACAATATGATGTAGTTGACAGTTGACAGTGACAAAAGCCACGTGTCCGGCTGGCTGACGCGACCCGTGTGTGCGTGTGCGCGCGTATATCACTTCTCACGCAAAAAAAAAAAGGAAAGGAAGGAAGGAAGGACTGAAGGATCAGAGCTGACTCCTACGCTACGCGATCTGATCCTTCCCCCCATCGCTCCACGAATCGTCGTCGTGTGACGCCACGAGCGAGATTATTTAAAAATGGCGGACACGTCGTCTTCCGACACTACCTCAGACTGCTGCAATGAGTGTCTCTCTGACATTACATCGGAAAAATCCGAGTTCGTCGTCGTGGGACGCAAGCCGTGTCCGTCGCATCGACGCAGCAAGAGGAATTTTTTGCAGAGGCTGCTGATAAGGGAGGTAAGAAGCTGTAGAGGTGCCCCTCCGAGCACCTCCGCCGAACGCGAGCCCGCATCATATCGTGACTGACGGGGACTCTCTTTTCGAGCTGTCACGGAAGGCGGTATTTTACCTCTACGAGAATTTGACGGGAAGCGAGAAATTATTTCCTTAGAAAGATGCCGCTCTCTTTCTCAGATGCAGAATTTTTTTCCCTCGAGAGAGAGAAAGAGAGAGCTATCGACATGTATCCCTAACAACACACGTATTTAAAAGACGTCCAGAGGATGTTTAACATATTCTGGATGTCCTTTGAATGTCTTTGAACATGTGTGTTATTAGGGATATATTGGATGTTCTAACAAGCTTGCTTTGTATAAATTTTTTTTTTTTTTTTTGCTTGAGAAATATCTCCGGCGTGCGCCGATTTATATAGATAATTTTTTTCTTTTTGTTTGCAGATGAGGGGATGTCTATCGGCGCACAATTATGCGACGGAGGAAAGACTGTTTACAACTGTACCTAAGTGGCGACATTTGTCTCTCTTACATATAATCCCGAAATCGGCGCTCGAAGCAGGGTATATATTGATAATAGTGATTTATTTATATAGATCCTTAACAACACACATGTCTTAACATCCTCTGGATGTCCTAACCTAATCTGAGGATATCCTACATCCTCAGGATATCCTAACATTCTCTGAATGTCCTCTGGACACCCTCTGGACATGTGTGTTGTTAGGGGATTTATTCAATCCATTTCTCCTGAGGATGTAAAACATCCTTTGGACATGTGTGTTAGATTTATTCAATCCATTTATCTCTCTCTCTCTCTCTCTCTCTCTCTCTCTCTCTCTCTCTCTCTTTTGAGCTTGATATAGACGAGATGATATATGTATTATCAAATGTTTAATAGAAATTAAGAAACAAAGGCTAGGCAAGAAATGTATTGACATAATAAATCTTTGAGCGTATATCTTAAATTGTCAGATTTTTAATTTGTTTGCAAAGAAATGTCTCAATGAGATATTTAAATATAAATAACACGATTGTAATTAAATTTTTTGTTTCATAAGGCACATTGTTATGGGATTGACTCAATGCGGTCAATTTCTGCTCACATATACATATATGGTGGAGGTCAGCAGTAATACGTCCTTGTTTAAGTATCTATTACACTGGTGGGCCTTTACACCGAATCATGTTGCTCGCAAAGTTGCCGAAGTTACGTTGTTTGGCAATTATTCAATTTATAGGGAGTTAAGCATAGTTATATCACAATGGCCAATGGAACGAAATAAGCTTGTAATACATGGCCTCTGGTAAGTTTTAGATTGCATGTAGAATTAAGAGATAGATCTCTACGAAAAATAAGATATTTTAAAAATTCGATGATCTTTTCTTTTATATGTTCTGTTTTATTTGTTGTTAGGGGATTTATTCAATCCATTTCTCCTGAGGATGTAAAACATCCTCTGGACATGTGTGTTAGATTTATTCAATCCATTTATCTCTCTCTATTTTTCTCTCTCTCTCTTTTTTGAGCTTGATCTAGACGAGATGATAAATGTATTATCAAATGTTTAATAGAAATTAAGAAACAAAGGCTAGGCAAGAAATGTATTGACATAATAAATCTTTGAGCGTATATCTTAAATTGTCAGATTTTTAATTTGTTTGCAAAGAAATGTCTCAATGAGATATTTAAATATAAATAACACGATTGTAATTACATTTTTTGTTTCATAAGGCACATTGTTATGGGATTGACTCAATGCGGTCAATTTCTGCTCACATATACATATATGGTGGAGGTCAGCAGTAATACGTCCTTGTTTAAGTATCTATTACACTGGTGGGCCTTTACACCGAATCATGTTGCTCGCAAAGTTGCCGAAGTTACGTTGTTTGGCAATTATTCAATTTATAGGGAGTTAAGCATAGTTATATCACAATGGCCAATGGAACGAAATAAGCTTGTAATACATGGCCTCTGGTAAGTTTTAGATTGCATGTAGAATTAAGAGATAGATCTCTACGAAAAATAAGATATTTTAAAAATTCGATGATCTTTTCTTTTATATGTTCTGTTTTATTACAGTACAAATTTCTTACATTTACAATCGACTGATAGAGCATATTTAACTATAACGACGGTACCGTCTCTAGAGAACTGCAAAGATTGCCTAAAGGTCGCTGCATCATACGAGGAAGAAGGTGAAGGTAATGAATAATTTACAATTTTTTTATAAGAAGGAAAAATAAAATATCTTTAAATATATATATGTGCGTGTGTGTGCGCGCGTGCGCGTGTGTGTGCGTAAATGACGCGTGTATTTATATATTTTAATATTAATTAGAATTTTCACAATCATGTAGAATTAGCTGCGAATTGGGATTGCTGCGTGCGATGTAACTGCTTACAACACGGTCTCACGGTTCATACAACATACGAAGTCATCTCACCGTACCCGAAATTTCGTGCTAAAGTATGTTTAAATTATTGGAATCATGTGGTGGTCAACACGGGAAACTTCTTGCACGTTCTCAGAGTAGACTTGAATATACCCAAGTCGAAGAATCAGAGGACGTGTGATAAACCGATTACCTCTGATTCTATGGTTCCGGATACAATCCCGTTGGATATGAGTGACATTGAAGAGGCGGATTATTCAACGAGGGCAGAGCGATACGAAAGCTCCGACGAGAAGATAGGTACGCCAGAGTGCCCGCTCGATCGATCACCGAAATGCGAATCCAGCCTGGAGCACGACTTTCTAGACGAGGCAATTAAGTTAGAAGCGAGATTAGGACGTGATTTACCGTTAAATACCTCAAGCAGCAATCAAAGCGACTATGTCTGTGATATAAATAATAGTAAGTCTACCGCTGCCGATGCTTTAGATATTAAGTTATGCGAATGCTCGGATATGACCGAGCAATGCAAGTGCCGAAATAGCAACAGCAGCCCGATCTCCCAGCGGCCGCCAGGTGGCATCGAACAGACGGCCATCTCGGTTCGGGACAAGATCCTGCAAGATTTTTGCGAGGACACGTCGCAGGAACTCAATATTGGCAGCGATCTGATCACGCTGGTGAAACATCCGTCGTGTTCGCCGCGCTCGACGCCGCAGAGGCTGCCCGCCGATCTCAGGACGACGACGACAGCGGCATGGTCGTTGCCGATATTCACTCCGCCGTCGGATATTCTGCGCACTCGCAATTCGGAATCTAGTCACAGAACCCAGATCCAACGGACTAATAACAGCGGCCAACAATCCAGTTCTAGTTCGTCGCAATCCACAAGTGCTCCGGACAATTCCGTGGCTTCCATAAACTCGCCGTTGCAGTCCGTTTCGATCGGTAGCCCATCTTCCTCGTATTCGTCCCGCTTGATGTCACCACCCACCGCGACCAGATCTTTTCGTCATCCGAGCCCGCGCAAGAGATCGAATCTGCACTCGCCTCCACCTGTCGTGAACCCGAGTCAGTCAACGAGAACAACGAGAGCGACGCACAAGCTCATCCTCGAAGCGGAGAAGGCGTACGAGTTTACCGATGAGACGCAGGAGACAACCTGCGAGAAGCTCAGTTCGTTCAGGAAACGCCGACTTGCTGACAAGAAGTACGAGTTTTGCGACGAGACGGAAGATGCGGAGAATATAGTTCCTTTCAAGCACATACGCGATCAATTCAGGCATCGTGGTGCCTGCTCCATACATCTAATATCCTCCTCACCGGCAATATCGCCGGCGGTGCTGCCGAATGGCCGAAGGCATTGGCTCGATTCGGATCAGGGCGAATCAGATGAATTGAATCTTGCTCAAGATATAGCCAACGACTTGTCGAATCCCGAATCAGGTAAAGCCCCTGATTATTATTAAAAGAAAGAAAGAAAGGAAGGCTTTGTATATAATTTGTAATGAATTCGTGTATTTTTACTAGCTGAGAAAAATGTACTTCGACCGTTGAATCAGAACCAACTGTCCAACGGAAGCGTGCGTGATAGAGATCGCGTCGGCAAGTGTTGCCCGAATTTCTCACCTTTGGTTCCTAAGAATAACTTGCAATATCCTTCGATAAAGTGTACCGCGCGCTTCAAACGGAGCTACATAGAGCTTGACGACGAGATGATATCAGTCATTACGGATGTGGAAGGTATTCAAATCTCTCTTTGTATGAGTTCACTCTTGGAACTTTGTTTACAAATTAGTTAAAACTGTGAAAAGTTAATAAAGATTAATATTGTATCAATATGATGTCTATACAGATGAAGAGACAGGAGGGTACGTAAGTTACCAATGCGTACTTCCGATGCTTGTGCACGGTTCCGGATATGTTCAAATGCAGATGATAAGCAATAGTAAAGCGGAAAAACTGGTATTTATTATTTTGAAATATATATTTAAACTTTCTAATATTTGTTGCTCTTTACAAGTACTTGAGGAAAGATTGAGATAATTCTAATAAAGGAATAATTACACAAATGAAATATGTGCAAATATATAAATGCAAATATATATATATA